ATAAATTTCCTGACAAGCAAAAAAAAAAAAGGTCACCAACTACCAAAAATTCCTTGACAAGCAAAAAAAAAAAAAAAGAAGGTTATCAGACGTTTTTATTGAGGTGGCACAAGCTATAGTATGTATGTCTACTATAGTAATCTATATATCGGCAAAATTATTGGGGGGCACGCCCCCCTCGGTTCCTACGGCCATGTTGATTAAATTTAGGGTCACTAAGGAAAGAATGTTTTGACTGGATGAATGGTCTGAAAGAACATGTGTTAACTTGTCGAGTCGGTAACACATAGATGGGGTTTTCTTATAACCAGAGTGTGTCATGGTTTGATGCAAGGTCATTTGAACGAGTTCAAGGTCATCAACGAAGAAACAACATTCCTTAACTGTCTTTCTACTGGTGAGACATTGCAAGTTGATACCCCTTACAAGATTGCTTATAACCTTAGAATGTGGCATGACCTTGACTCAAGGTCACTTCTTCCTGTTCGCAGCTCCAACGGAAGACCTACTCGTTGCTTTGCAACGAGCTCTGCTCTAGTTTATGAAGAACTTATCATATCGTGGTTCGCAATGGAATACCGAATAAAATGCATTGTACATACTAGAAAACAAAAAAACGGCAAAGCATGAAAATTATCTAGATCCGGAAATAAGAGAGCAGAGTTTAGAAGTTTTTTAATAACACCATTAAGGACTGAATTAATTATTTTTTTTCTCAAATAGTATACCAAATATTAAGGTATTCATTTTTTTAGGGAGACGACTCAATACTTTTTATGGAACAAAAATGTGAGCTCTGTATTCTTTTGTGTATAGTTTAATTATTTTCTCCAAAAATCTTATTATATTGCTGTTTATCTTTTAAAATAATAAGGATAATGTCAGTATTTCATTTAAGTAGAACTAAGAACCCCACTGAAATGACCACTTATATGTAAGTGTTAACGAGTGTTCCTATAACGTTTACTACAAAATGCTTTTTAAAAAGAATAAGTGCTATTACACGTAGCTTTATTTTATACAAGATCGATCCGTGATGATAATATTTGAACAATTATATATATATATATATATATATATATATATATATATATATATATATATATATATATATATATATATATATATATATATATATATATATATATATATATATATACTCTACAATTTAAGTTCAAATATTTTTGACAATCATTACCTACAATGCTCATTCTATATATTTATGCACTTTAGTTTTGTCCTTTAAATCAAAGCTCATCTTATTTTTGTCTATAATACCCGGTACTGTCCGTATGCCCTATATTTTTTTTTGGCATGCTTGTTTATATTCTAAACATGTTTATATTCGTCTGCAAGCATATAACACTCAAAAATTCCACTGGGAGTGTTACACATAATTTTTTATGTAAATTCTAAATATAGCTATGATGCTTGTAAGTGGAATGTGAATTTATTCGATCAGCAAAATATTTTACATGTATGGCAATCCTTTCCTCAAGTAAACCTTGAAATACCAGTAATAGAAAAAATAATAAGATATTCACAATCTAAGAAACACTGTATTTTATCATGCATAAATCTTAAAAGTTACTTACAAAAAAAAATGGATTTAAAACAGCTAAATGTACCTAATGGGAAACATATTCAAAACCCTTCGATTATGTTCGTCAATTTGTGATTTTCATTTATACATCAGTAATATTTACATAAGTTTTTCCATAAAAAATTTAAGATAATCAAAACTTTAGGGGTATAAATGGCATCTCTACATACATGTAGCCTCCTTACTCCTCAGCATAAAAATGTCCTACGCATTTTGATCTTATTTACAGTGGGCGATTCGATCAGTCCTTCAGAACAGTTTTAAATTAAATATACTTATCCACTGATGTATATCTGGTTTTCAGTCTTTGTAAACAGAATTAAGAATCTCATTTTACAACTTGTTTCAAAAGGATTCCAATTTAGGACACACATGAAATGAAACACTAACAATCGTAGCTGTAAAGTTTGAAAATATGAAGTTCATCATGCAATTTATTTAAAACGTGCTCTTTAGGACTACATGTATCACATTTCTTTTTATGTAAATCTTTACTTATGTCTATATGACCGTGCTGAATTACCGTCATGTCATGTTTGCTGAATAAAGATTTGAAAATAAAAGTATTTTAAAGCCTTTCTTCCTCTACAAGTGTTGGTTGAAAAAAATCAGTTGCGAAATAATAAACTTTAAAGAATATGTGTTAACATTGTTACACTCTACCTACAACCTGCTTGATTGCACGTATACTTTACACTGGGGAATGTGTGTATCTTTTGTTGTTGTAAACCATTAACTTGTCGGAATGAAGCTGATTTAAGATTTTATTGTACATGGACTGTCGGCATTGGAGGCAGAATGGGGGTTCCTTTTCGGAGGAAATAAGACCACTACGTTCAGTGCAGAGATTGAAGTAATGACGAATAAGCACCATTGTCAAGGAACAATGTCAACAACAGAAGCTTGGACACTATACATCAACATCTAACATAATTTTATACAATGGACCAAAATCTGTAGTACTTTTAAGGTCTGGTAAATTGTGTGAAAATACCATACCAGAATACTAGGCGGTGACCATGGGAAATCACATGAAGGAATGGTTGCTGTTGTTGGATATATGCTCTTACATTAGCAATCCAACTTGAGGGATTAAGATCATAAAATACATGTACAGCACTTAAGCAATTTAACTACACAAATATTGCCAAAATTTAAAATTAAGATGTACAAAGACATTGAAACTTAATTTCATCCAATTCTTTTATGTCGTATAAAATAGCTCAAAACAAGCGAAAACTTGTACATATAAAGAAGCTTAAAAGTAAAAACCCGATTTAAAAAATACACAAAAATAATTGGAAACCAAATATATATACTAGGGCTGGGCAATAATACCGATATTCCGGTATATTGCGATATGTTGACAAAAAAATATCGTATTGCAATACGTTTTTGTAATACCGATATACCGGCAAAATGCTAGGACTCAGGAATTCTATCATAAAATTGGTGAAAAGTTGTCAGAAAGATCATGCCAAAAAGTGTGACAAAAGCTGTTGTATGAGTGTATTTAGTTGCATAACTGTAATTCAATCAACAAGATATCTTTTTTGATTATTTACCATAGTTATGTACATTCTACCTGTAAAAGGAAGTAAATATAAAAAGAAAATACCATTTAATTTTTTGTTGAAAATATTGCAATACGTATTGCAATACAGTTAAAAATATCGCATTATATCACTAGCCAATACCCAGCCCTAGAAGACTGGCAGTAGAAATATTTGTATATAATATATACAAATATTTCTATTGTCGGTCTTCTTGCTTTCACTTTGATTAAATAATAATCGTCTTAGAACATTTGTGTGTCCATATATCTGACAATTTTCTTATCAAATGCATTCCGAGACATTTCCAATTTAATTCTGCAAGATTTCGTACATATTTCAATTTCATGTATACTGTGGATAAGGCGATCCAAAAGCGCTTGATTTTTGTAAGCAAGGTATTAGATCGCTTTCCCGGTAGTAAATGTTTATGCTTAACGAATATTATAAAAGATTTGTTTAAATTTTGTCAGAGAATGTTTTCACTGATACAACGGAATGATATAGATGAAAATAAGAGTACATACATTCGCTAGCCAAAGGTGAAGATCTGGTCCTTTCTTTATAACAAGAATATCGTCGAGTTAAGTTGCTCCTAAAAGCCCTCAAGGAAATCTATCTAAGTATAATTGTTAATCCCGTTACGTATATTTTTAGCACAAGCATAAACAAAATTAATAACCTTTAATGAAATTTCAAAAAAGTTAACGTTGCCTGCCTTAATTTTTGCAAAAAGAAATAAAATATAGTAATTGTACAAAGACATTGCTTTATGATATTGTAAGGTTATATTTAATGTTATGGATTTAGTTATTGGCATATGTTAACACTATTCTATTCAGATATAGTGTATAAAAAAAATAATGATGATAAGCCTTCTCTACCGCCTCACTTTAAGTATTAAGATAACTACATTTACATTTTTGAGTTAAGTATGTTTGACATTGAAATGTTTAAGTTCGAAATAATAAAATACTATATTTTCTACAAAAGTATTTTCCTTCATTAATTCTTTTAAAACAGACACTCCTTGAGGATGCTCACATTTACTTAAGAGGATCTTCCAAAATAAAAGCTGATTAATGAAAATATTCCAGATGATTTAGTCCTCAAATAATTATTATTATCACAAGGAAAAGAGGCCTACATGATATTCATGGGATTATCTTTTTATTTGAAAGTTATGTAAAAATCATGTAAAATTGTGTGATATTCACATAATTTTTTTTAGAACTTTCATTTGAAGTTTTCTTTGCATGATATTTATGCGATATGCTCTACATGTAAAATTTATATGAAAGTTATGTCAAAATTGTTTGAAGTTTTCACATATATTTCACATGTCTTGTTTTTCGTCTCTTTCTCATGCAAAGAAATGTGAATTTCATATAAATTTATGCAAGTCACTTTTTCCTGTGTAGTCCAGGGATTGTAAGATTAATTGATAATATGGGAGAAATTCTGCCTTATTCAAATATTAAGTGACATTTCCTGATTAAGTTTCTCATATTTTTAAATCATTCTAAAAGTTTGCATATTCCTTAGCAAAAACTTACAAAAAAGTCCGTTCTCATTTTCTTTAAAAAAGAATGCTCAGAAAAGAAATTTATCTATTTACGTTGATTAGAAATAAGATTTTGTTTACGGTGTATGTGTCGGTGATCATGAATAAATAAATGAGAATATGGCTGATTTTTTGTGCATTGTGTATTTAAACTTCGGGTCGCTTGATTTGCATCAGTGCGCCTTGAGAATTACCCGGTCTATTTGACATATTCTTCTATGTAGGTTTACGTTTTAGAATCCTTATTCTCAAGCAAAGTGGAAGAAACCGAACCATTCTAAACATTGCGCAATATTCTTTATCTTTATAATGGATTGAATTGCTGAAGGAAACCATAAACGATGGATGGACATCGACATAGGAAGGTAAGGACTCCGAATTAAGTAATAATGTCTGCTTTATTAATCTATTTCATCATATTGATTTTTAGTCCCGGCAGACTGTTTACCGATAGTGAAAAATGTCGTGGAAATATTTAGAACACACACAAAATGTCCCAAAGAAAGCAGCAATACACATAAATATTTTACAGTGAGTTGGGCACAGAACGTGTAATTATACGAAATAGGTTACAAGGACTGACCGTGTTATGTTCTTTTCTCCTCTGAAGGTTCCTGCTGTGTGAGTGAATGTCCCATAATTTACCCGCCATTTGATGAGGGCATTTGTGAAATGAATTTTCAGTCCCTGCCATCCAAAAGATTTGATATCATCTCGTCTCAGGGATTTTTCAGAGACTTTTGTGAAATTCGATAGAATTTTTGAAAGAAGTTGGTGGTAAAATATCTCCATTTATGCTTTGGTTAATGTCTCAAAAAGCCTATAAAAGCGTGTTTTACAGCTTTTTGAAAGAAACCGACTTTTAAACGATTATATAGTATTTTAAGGAATTTGAAGTCTTACTTGGGATGGCAAACAGTCAATTTTATTCTGTAGAAAAGGTAGTTTGATAATAATTAAAACTCCTGTCTTCCAGACATGCAGTGCTTGCAATCAAACAATTATATAAAATAAGTATAGAGAATATTTACATACATTCATTCTGTACAAAAGTGAACAAAAGTGAACGCGTGAAGATATTTGATTTGAATTACTTGACATGGGTATTTTTTCTTCCCCCCCCCCCTCCCTCCCCATTCTATTTTTACATGTATTGCTACCTTAACGTGTTCGTTGTTGATCAAAAAAGGGGATTTTTCCAAACTTTAATGGATTAATTTCCTATATCATAAACCATTTCATAAAAAAATCTTTAGTTTATTTCAGTAGGGACCCCGACCTTTTCAATAATTGATTATATACTGTGACAAATTTTCAATTGTCTTCGTGATATCTTTTTTGTATTATTGTGATAAGTCTTAAATTTTGCTAAAAATTTTATCTTAACAAAATACAGAATTCGTATTTATAGTTCCGGAGGAAATTCTCAACTAAATGCACATTCGCCGGGAAGAAATATATCTAGTATCGTTATGATACATGATTGCAAAAACGGTTAAACAATAATTAACTATGTTCAACCAAGCTTCAGAGAGAAAGAACATTATGAAATATATGTTAACATGCATGAATACACATTTATATTAGATTTTGGGTATATACTGCACACACAATTTAAATTTTGCTTTTAATCTAAGTATAAGTACCAAAATACCATGGCAACTGCCTTAGAGCATAGAAAAATCGCAATTCGGGTTTGAACATTGTTTATATTAATAAAGCCTGTGTGGATGTGTTACATGTATAAACAATCATATTCTCCTAGCAATGTAAGGAGAAGGGGAGGGGGTGTTTCCAAGAAGTAAAATAAAGTGTTTTGTTAGAAATGTCTTCGGATTTGTAGTGCCCAGCCTCCGAAGCTCGGTACATTTCTTGCAGGATGATATATAACAATTTTCTTTTTCGCTACCTTAAATGAAATCAGATAATTTCCGAAAATGGTTAACTGAAAACATATTTGCTGGTTTAACAGAAAAAGATCAGCAATATTTGTTGAGGACAATTCTCCATATCAAATGCAGAGATAGAGTAATGTCCAACATTTTCAACCAAAAAAACTCGACATTCAGGAATGGTTTCGAACTCATATATATTTTCTTGATAAAATGTTGAGACCTAAACGATTACCTTTGGCTACATCACTAAAACTTTTTCGTAATTTCAAAATAAATATTTTTGCAAAAGATTTTAAGCCCCCCCCCCCCTCCAATCATCTAAATTTGAACCTCATTGAACTTATTTGGTCCAGACTGACTAACCGCTTCGATGAAGTCCGAAATATATTCGTGATGCATTTGAGTTTTACTGAATCGATAAAATATGGTTAAAAAAATACTGTATAAGGAGTTATTTTCGCCCCCTGTTATTTTATCCTTTTCATACTTCCAAACAATTCTGCTGTTCTAAATTCGCTTATATTCGCAGATAATAATGTCCTCTTTGAATAAGCTCCATCTAAGATCCGTCTTCCATCGAGGCGAAAATAAAACAGAGGCGAAAATTTCCCTACATACAGCATTAAAAAAGGAATTAAAAAATCCACTCCGTTAATTAAGGATCTAATAAATGAGTTTAGACTGTCTTTTTGGTGCTAGATCAGTTATCATGGCATATTAGTAAATAATTAAAGGCTACCTTTCCCCATACTTAACTATAATTAAATTACGTAGAAAATTATGATTTTTCTTGAATTCAATTTGAAATCACGTGAAAAGTAATCTGGATACCTATACATATTTAATTTCAGAATAGTTCAAAGAGTTTAGTAACATAGGAAATACCGTTTTCTCAGAGACTGTAGGCAATCTGGATACAATATTAAAAAAAAAAAAAAAAAAAAAAAAAAAAAAAAAAAAAAAAACTCCAATATTTCCTACTACACATTATTTCACCAAGCTATAGTTATTTAATGCCATTAAAGGAATTCTTTTATTCATTTATCAAAGTTGAAAAAAAAACTATAGGTACCATTCATTTACTAGATCTTTACATTAAACTTAAAAAATATTTGTATAAATAAAATAGCTAATGGTTGGTAACAAACGGTGAAAACTTTTTTTAATGCGTATTTTAAGTATTTTGAATATGAATGAACTCCTTGAAGGAACCTCTGTAGAAATATGTATCTCTATAATTTCACAATAACAACTATAAGTAGTACTTTTACTTCAAAAAAAATTTGAGTCTTTCCTGGATAGCTATTGGGGAAATGTCGGTTTCTGTGACCAGTCATAACCGAAAAGTTACATGTAGTAAGTAGTTCAAAAGCTATGCTACTCGGTCAACTATTGGAATCAGACATGTAAAAAAAATATGTGAATTATTATTACAACCATCCTCATCAGCATCTTCATCAAAAATCTTAATTCTATTTTCTTCCCCTTGACTTCAGCTTACTGACACATATTTGTTCTTCAATTCAACAAGCTATAGATCTAATCATAGATTATGTTTCTTTTGGAATGTATACTGTGTGATCTATAATGTGACTATTCTCGTTCTCACCACCAACCTTCCAGATCTTAGGCGACATTTTACAAAAGCAGGTGCAAGATTAGTTTTTATGTTATAAAAACATGATCGAAAAAACAACGTTTACGTCCTAACTAGTTATTCTCTGTTTCTTGGTGATCTCGACAAAAAGCTTTAACACAATGGTATTTGCACGCACCGGGCTCTTTAAATTCAGATAAAAATAGTTATGACGATAGTTAACAGATTTAAACCAGGAAGTAGTACTTCGAATCATAGAGTACACTTAAACAAGTGAAAAAAATGTAAAAATTAAAAAAAAAAAAAAAAAAAAAGGCTAGGGGATGAGCTCGAAAGAAATACTATTTATCACAATTATCACAATATTCTATGGAATGCAGTTTTTAGTGCTAAAAGAAGAAAAAAAAACCAATAGAATTTGTAAATAGAGGTTTGTTTGGGTTATTTTTCAAATCTGATCAAATTCAAAGCCTATACACTGGAGTATGATATTAAGCCTAAAGAACAAAGCTTGCAACACAACCCAAACCGTACACATTTCTTGTTTTTGTGTAAACAAGTATTGTAGTCTGTATTTCACTTCACTTTTTACACTGTTAATCGGTTAAAACACACACACACACACACACACACATAAATACATCATTTGATGTTTGCTTGTAGAAATACATCATTTGATGTTTGCTTGTAGATTACTTCGGGAGACGAAATATCATGAGTGATGCCATGAAACTAAAATATAAATAATCCAACGAAATTAAAATATACTCTGTAAACTCTGACTTTTCTTCCAATGTGAATTTATGTCCAACAAAATGTTAACTTTTTACTAGTATGCATACTCGGGTGCGTGTAGTTTCCTTTCTTATTGATGGCCTGCTATTTTGAATAATTACCGACTGAATTTTTCTTCGGAAGAAAGCTTTGTCATCTCACCGAGTTGAAAAAAGATAAATTAAGGTGTATTGTTTTGTTTTAGCCCAGTTGAATGATATTACGCGCCATGTTTATATTGTTATTCCAGCTTGATACATGTACCAGACTTATTAAAACCATAGGTTATTTCAAAATAAGCGCGCAGTATGGTTGATTTTGGTATGAATCAATAGCTTTTGAAGAGAACTTTGTTTTCCAGTCAGAAAATAATATTTGAATAGAATTTTACGCAAAATATAATATCATACAGCATAAGTTACAGATATTTTACGCTTGTAACGCATTACATTTCAAAGCTATTTCTAGTGTTAAAAGGTCAATAACAAAATCGGTATAACGCAAATAATTGAAAAAGTGCATATCATTCTAAACATTAAACTTACTCAATTACAAGAATGTGAATTAATTTCCTAAAAAATGAAACAATCCGTATTTCCGTTTATGTTGTTGACGAAAACAAAACCAATGATCTGTTTTAAGACGGGTGCTCTGTGGATTTGTCGGGTATTTATAATCAGTATACAATACTAAAGGTTATTGACCTCTTGACGACACTCTTGAATGCCAGTCCTGAATCTGAACTTAAGTGTGTGTGTGTGAATGAGGTCTTTTAGGGACTGCTCTCGTGTTTTATCAGACGATGGCTTGTTTACTTGTAAACATTGTCATTTCAGAGAGCTGCTTGTATCATTATCTATGATTTATATATAATATATATAAATTTTTAATGTTTAATTTACTAGCGATCAATTTCGATTGCCTGGTTTCTTTCTCTACTTTCTTAGCTTATAAATCTACTATATAACATGTATTTTGTTTTGAGTAAGGTGTTAAAGAATTGTACAATAATGCTTTATGTATAATACAGAACGTACATGTACTTTCCTAGTTTTTATTAGATACGATCGGATCTAGAATCGAGGACAACAAATGAAAT